TAAAGCCTCCATAATAATGACAAAGAGGAAAGGTGCTAGGGGATCCCCCTGTCTTACTGACCTTTGTAACTTTATTTCTGGGGATAAAAGACCATTAACTTGAATTCGCGTTGTAGCATTAGAATGAAGAATCTGCACCCATTGTCTCAGTATAGGTCCAAAATTTAACTTAGCTAAACAGGCATCTAAAAAGAGTCAATCCACATGATCATACGYCTTTTCAAAATCAATGAAAATAAATGYCGCGTTCTGCTTATTCTGCCTASATACCTTAATCATCTCATTAACAAGGATTACRTTATCYTGTATATTCCTTCCATGAATGAATCYTGTTTGAGACGRATGTATGATGTCGGTCATTAGTGGAATTAGTCTGTTAGCAATARCYTTRGCTAGCAYCTTGTAGACCACTGTTAATAGAGTTATAGGTCTATAGTTTCTTACATTGGTCTTATCTCCTTTCTTATATAGCAGAGTTAGGATACCTTGACCGACTATTTCCCCCATACATCCTGAAATCTGAACCTGATTATAATATTCCATAAGGTCATCTGCCATAAATTCCCACATTATTTCCCAAAATTCCTTCGGGAGACCATCCACCACTGGAGTCTTACCTTCTTCCATTTGCATGAGTGCAGTCCAGATCTCAGTCTTGGTGATTGGTCCCTCCAAATTGTTTTTTTGTGCTTCGGATAACTGATGTGTTAGAGGTTCAAGAAATGCTTGAGTCTCTTGCTTTGCCCATGTGGAATTCACCGTAGAAGAATAAAGTTTCTTGAAAAAATCATACACCACCTTTAAACTCCCTGCCGATGTTACTAGTTCCGTATGGGAAGCCTTTGCCGGATCTATCAATGCCTCTATACCTGATCTTCTACCTCTGGTTTGTACTAATGAAAAAAAGGATGAGTCCATTTGCCCTTCCGACTGATGTTTAGATAATTTGCTCCTAATGAGGAAGCCTTGCCATCTATCCTGGGCAAAAGACAGTAGCTGATTCCTGAGATCACGAAATTCCTCCAYAYTGGGGGGTACCACTGAGCAATCTTGTTGTTCGTAATGAAGTATTTTTTCTTGAATTTCCATCTCCTGTTCATATTTTTGTTTGGCTATTATTTTGGAGAATTCATTGCATTTTTTGGCTAAAAAAAACATTCCATTGTTGAACCAAGGTACATAAGAATCTTGTTGATTTTTGGTGGAGTGCCAGAACTTCCATACCTCTTTTATGTAGTTTTTGAAATCTATTCTCTTTAAAACAGATGTGTTTAATTTATAAAACCCCTTTCCTTGGTCTGTTTTTTTCCTGAATGTCAATAAGATTGCACACATCTTGTGGTCTGCACCTGGCCACGGACTTTGTGGAAAATTGTTTGCACCTACTAATGCATGGTCAAGATCCTCAGATATTAGTATTAAATCTATTCTAGATTTGGATTGATGAGAAGAACCCGAATTCCTAATACACGTAAAAATGCGTTCCTGTGGAAACATTCTTCGATAAGTATCATAAAGGTTTTCGGCTTCACATAATTGATAAATCATTAATTCATCCTCTTCTATATAAGTCGGACATGGTGAAGGGATCTTCCACCTATCCATCCATCTATCTGGGGCTGCGTTAAAATCCCCTGCAATTGTAACCGGAATCCCATTAGGAATATGATTACGAATATCCCGAAAGAATTGTCTTCTTTCTTGAACTTCATTAGGCCCATATATATTGAGTACACATAATATTTCTACTTCTAACATTACTAGAGCAGCTATCCACCTACCCTCTTCCTGATCTGCTTCCCAGTGGATTATCTCTGCCCTCGACTCCGGAGGGACCCATATTGCCACTCCTGCTGACCCATTACGAGTTGCATAAGCTTGAAATTTTGGGTGAGGCCAGACTAGGTTGTGTGCTCTGTTATGTGCAGGAGAGTCCATGAGGTAGGTTTCCTGTATACATATCACATCTGGCCACGATCTTCCTCCAACTCCCTTAAGCTGTTCTAAAATAGCCTTGCGTTTAAGTGCATCTGCCGTAGCTAGGCCATTCACATTGAGCGACCTTAAGTCAAGATCCGTTGTCTGAGATGCTCGTTGCCAGGATGGATTCTTCCCATATAAAGCTTGGATTGCCTCCATCCTTACCCAAATATAAGAGAACATTCATATTGACATCTACAGCCTTACCCATGCTCCCCCTTCTAATGTTGTTGAAGACGTAAGAATCCCTTGTCGTAGAATAAAACATAAGAAAGCAGAAATTTCAGTTACCGTCCATACTACATTGGCTTTTATTTTTAATTGTTGCAGATCTAATAGGGCTACATGTGAGTACCATTTAAGCCCAGATTCCTTGTTTTCCTCAAACTTTACAAATATATCCCGTTTGGCCATCTTGGCCTGATCCCCTGTCAGAGTTTGAGTCGCTTGAGGTCCAGGATCATAATGTTTGGACAGAAAGTCATGCATATCCCTCTTGAAGGTCCTATCCCCGGAACTGTTATATTCTACATGTGTCATCCATCCTCTCAATGTCACTCCCCCATATTGATCTTGACCTATCGGTGAAAGACCTATTTCCCATTTTCCTCCTTTTTTTCCGGACCGGAATGACCAAATTACCTTTGGGGGACGTCGCACCATTAATTTGCCCTTTTTCTAATACATGCCTCAATTTTTTCCTCTTGCCCATGTCAATTCCTTCCTTTCTTGCTAACAAGGAGGGGGTAATCCTGCCCTCTTTCAATCCCTTCTTTTTTTGAGAACCATTTGATTCTTGGGAGGTGAAAATATCCTCCTCCTCTATTTCTCCTTTTCCAAGGGAGTTTACCTCCTCTTGAATATCCTCTTGATTATCCGAAGATGAATCACCATGTTCCTTTCCTTCTTTATCCTCCTCCCCTATCACTTCCTTTTCCGTCGTATCTCTTATTCCATCATCCTCCGTTTTTTCTTTCTCTTCCTGCGTATCTAAAATACCACTTTCTAATAATTTGCTTTCCTTTACTCCTTGCGTCTTTACAGTGTCTTGTACTGGGGATTCATTCCCCTTCTTGATTATCTCTTTATCCATAGGAATCGGTGGTTGGAACATTTCTCCCACTATCTCCAATATCCAGTGACTTACTATTGTCCGACATGCCCCCTCTGGAAGACCCTGTTCCAATACTTGTTTGAGACTAAAACTATCATTTAAAAGTTCCAATAGTTGTGCATAGGAAGTATCCCAAAATTCCTCTGGACCTTCCCCATATCCATCCTTCAGATTCTTGATTAACCACTCAGCTAGGTGGTTCAGTCTATCCTCTATCAATTCTGGGGTATTATGTTCCGTACATTCCTTCATTTCAAATTCCTCTATTGAGATAACGAGATCCACTTCCATTGGAGCCGGCCCAAAAGCCTTTGAGAAAGGATCAGAGTCTGACTCTTTATGTTCCTTACTTTCAGAAGACCCCACCTCTTCTTGTTGATTGGACTCCAGTGTAGGTTGATCCTTTGTTTCTGACACCTTGTACACTGATACTTGAGATGCCTGTGAAAAATCTGTATCCCTCATTGGACTCGTAATTTGTTTCCTTTTCCTCTTTCTCCTTTTTTCTGGGTCCTGGTACTCATTCTCTTTTTGGTCTTGAGAATACACAACAAGCGATCCTTGTTCTAGTGATTTCTCGTTCTCCTCCTGCTCCGAGTCAGATTCTTGTTCTTTGTCCAATAGGAAGAAGGAGCCCTTCTCATTTTAATTAATAAAATCAGAAGGATGGGGCCCTGGCATTACCTTTTTTACTTCACTTGCTTCCTTTCTTCCTTTGAGTACTGGCCTCCATTGCTGTTGTGAAACTGATACTTTTTTCTTGTTCTGTATCCCTGGGTTCTCTGCGCCTCCTTCCTGGGATGATTTTTCAATTTCAGACATACTTTGAGAACCCTTAGAGCCAGATGCGATATGGGTCACATTCTGGTTGTTATTTGATCCTTGCCCTACTCGTGTTCTATTCCCTGGCATTTCTGGTGGAGTCCATGTATCGGAAGGTTTGGTTTCCCAATTTGGATCTTCCTGTCTTTCCCATATCCATCCTTGATTCAGTTCCCCTTTCCTTGTTCCTTCTACATATACCCACCCCTCATGCCCTGCATCCACTGTACGCCAAAGGTTAGGTTTGAATGGGTCCCTAATAAGTCTCCCTGTAGCTCTATTCTTCTTGGCCGGGTTTTGAGCACACGTGGCGTCCAAACTCAAATGTCCATAAGCTCTGCATCTGAAACACCATGGTCTTAATTTGTGTTCCGTGTGTATATGATATTCTCTTCCTCCCACCCTATATGGAATGACATCATCTATGTTGAAAGGAATATTTGTAGGGTGGTTGAGGGCTAACATTAAATAGTCATCCCTCTTTGCTGCATAAGTTGGAAGAGGATCTATGAAATCTACAATATCATAATTAATCACAAAATCGTGAATAAAGGCAGCTTGTATTTCTATCGGGATTTGTCTAAATTCTACCCAATAATGCTCCTCCATCATTTGCTTCCTCCTTTCATCCGGCCCCTGTTTAGGCGGCGTCCATGGGTAGATTCTGACTTCTGATCGTTCGCACCTTAATTTTTTCCATCCTTCAATTGTCTTCTTGTCCGAAATCAACAGACATAATACCGTAAAAATGGTCGATGAGATTGAAAGGATGAGAAAGTCCTGACACACCGCCTCATAACTCCCTTTGTATGCTGATAATTGCTTACATATCCATTTGATTTTATCATTCGTTGACTTGTACGCAGAAACATCATGGAACACCCAGTTGTTGGCGTGTGCCAAATATATTGCATCCCTTTCTTCCAATTTCTGAGTCGGGTATGTTTTAATTAATGATTTTTTCCCAGCTTGCTCGACCACCCGATTCTCTGATGAAATGATGAATTTAGATAGGAAAAAAACCTTTGGTGTTGATAAGCTGGTCAGTGGTATTTTTAAGGGTTGCGATTGTTCCCCCTGCATCCTGATTTCCAATTCTTTGTTCTAAAGCTGCCCTTTTACGCACTGAACCCACGACGAATGCCGATCCTGATTCTGTGATCTACCGTGCATAGGGGATCTCCCCCCTTGCTGTTGGATCTGTTCCTGAGATACATCAGCCCTCTCGTCCTTTTCTTGTTCTTTCATCAAAATACCTTCCTTACTTAAACTGATTTCCTTCCCTTTACCCCTACCCTCCCCTCCCTCCTCTCCTTTCCCACTCTCCTCCCCTTTTCCTTCCTTTCCCTCCTCTCCTTCACCTCCTTTCCTTCTTCTTGACTCTTGCAATCCTTCTTGTGAGGAGCCGGTCTGAACCACCAAGCTTCTCCTGCCTCCTTGTGAAATCTGTGATGTTGTAGACATCCTCTGATGTCTAAACGTAAGCACCGATCCAATGCCCGGGGCTAATACGTAACCTCTGGCCTGCCCTCCATTCAATTTCGTGATGTCTGATTCTTGAATGGATGCCTGATCACCTTCTATCTCTTTCCCTCCTGTTCCATCATCTTTATAAAGAGGGTTGCTGATTATCCCCCCCTGCTGTACATTCAGTTCCAGGTTAAAAGGGACAATGGCCTGTTCCATACTGTCCTTGTGCTCCTTCCTTTCGTTCTGCTCTTCTTCTGCTGTCATAATTTCCCCATCCATCATGTTAACCTCCACTGGATGACTTTCTAGCTCCTTGCCTTGCTTCTGCCTTGTTTCAATTCTTACTGGGGTATGAACTTGTCGTACTACTAACTGTCTCATTGCCCCTCTGATCATGAGAGTTGACTCCCTCATTTTATGACTCCTCTGACTCCTGTGATGTTGAATTATTCGCGTCATTTTTGCGGCTGAGTGTTGTAGTTTTGTGTTTTTTTTTTTTTTTTTTTTTTTTTTTTTTTAAAGGATGGGGGATGAAGATGAGTCAGGGGATTACCTGTAAGTTTTCCTTCACCCTTTCCTACCCTTCCTACCTACCCCTTTCTTCTCCTTCCCCTTCCCCTGTAGTCTCGTCCTCCTCTGCCTTCCTTTCTCCTCACCCCCCTTATCTCCTTGTACCCCCTGGCTTACTCCCCACCCCTCCTTTTTCATAGCGCACTCTAATGAGAGTCGAGTAGTTTCCACCCCTGCTCTCACTTTTATCTGCCGCCTTTAATCACCTCATGTCATAACCTTGGTCACCCTTCGATTACGGACCCTATCGTTTCCAGATGCACCTACCTTGTCTCAATATCCTATGAGTATTTCCACTCCCCTCTTGTTGACACTTGACTTCAGTAGATTGCTTGATTCCCCTAACCAAGGCGCTCATGAAATCATATATGAGGATATGTATCCCACGTGGACCCCCTGATCACCATCCACATCTGTCACTTATGCTTTCATATCAACGATTTCGCCTGATTCCTGCGTCACACTCAACTCTGAGAGTGCAGTTTCATGATCATCTTGTGGGAAATGAAACTCCTCACTTCCATCAACCCACGATCTTCCCACAGTGCAATGCCTCACATTTTTCAACACCACTCTATCTCTCGTCACTATGATTCAACTGTAATCACTCCTACTGTATTGTCCGTCGCTTCTCAGAATTTGGTAGAAACTAATTGAAAATGAGAATCCCTTTTCATTGGTGTGTTCGTGCACGTCGATCGTTTGTCTGCTCCTCCTTCTTGAGGCACCTTCCTACGCACGAGCGCATTAAATGTAGTTACAAACTCATCCTCCAGGAAATAACTAAAAATAATCCTTTATGATGATTTTCCTTTCCCGCCATATCAACCACTGCTGCCTCCCATTCGAACCATTCGCCAGCGCTCCACCTTTCCCCACATTAATGCCACGCATTCTTTCAACGCATTTGCACTCCAAATAATAATGCACTCAGCCTGCTCACGGCGCATCCAATCTTTTGCATGCGAGATTTCCTTCGTTCATTCTTCCAATTTCCTTCACCATTATCCCATGCTTCCAATCTTCCACATGCACTCGGAATGTACCAATCAGTAATAGCCGGGGAATAGGTATCGTCTTTGTCCCTCCCCCCTTATTCTCATTGCAACCCTGTAGTAGAGATATTCTTTAGCATTGACTCGCGCTTCCAATCCTGCAATTTCTCCTTTATCTACCACTCCCAATCTTCCACACAGATTTTCCAAAACTATCTCGGGAAGGCGCAATCGAAATAATAAGAAAATAGAATCCCTCCCCTTGATTAATATAGGAAGAGTATGGAGTCTCACGTTATCCGATCCATACCTGTTAACTTCCTTTGAACCTCTTATCTCTCACCTTCCTTCAACTTTTCTTCCTTCTATCGTGTTCCACCAGCTGTTCACCGTTCCCCTTGTGATACAACGCTTCATTCACTTGATATTCTCACGTTTCTCAAACTGCGCACCATTCCCCTTACACGTCCTTCTCTCCACGCCTTCTGGAAGTATGCACGACAACCAACAAGCCCTTTCACAGCTTCCTTCCGTTTACTTCCAACTTCTCTCTCTTCTGTTCTGATGAGAGAAACGCTGCTTTCAATCCCACGTGCCCGACGTGGCGACTCCAGCAGAAGACACCGAGAGTAGACCTTGTCATAATAGAACTCTGATTACCACGCCCTCTACGTGTCACGCAGAACAAACGTCGTTTTCAATTTCCATTTCCAGGGAAAGCGCTCCGTTTACTGCCCCCTTGCCGACGTTGAAAATGCGCGTCACCGTAGCGCACGTGCCGGCGCGACCGCGCGCTCGTAAGCGCTTGCAAATAACGCAGCCTTGCCTTTACTCTAGTGTTTCGAATTGTAGAACCACGATCACTGTCCTAACCCTCTCTAATATCGTCCTTTCCCTGGCTTCCCTTCTCAGCCGCCTTCCCCCTCCCTGGCCTAACTCTAAGAAGGTAATCGGTTAATTGAGTGCAGTTCTACGAGTCACTCTAAGATGTTCCACTACTCGTTCCTCCTCCTCACTACCGCCTGCATCACTCATGAACAACAGTGTGCGTGATCTAAACTAGAGTCCACACTGAATCCTACCTCAGCATGACGCACAACCAGCTATGAACAATCAATTATTTTCAGTCAACCTAGAGAGTAGTCAAGTGGTAACCAGCAATCATTGTCGGGTCCTACAGGTAATTTCAATTCTATTTTTAGATTACTCTTGCACAGAATGCGATGCAGCAGAAAGGAAAATTAACCTATCTGCAGTTGTCTGTCAGTTGTTAACAAGTCCATACAACTAAGTAATCAAAATAAAAATAATCACCTGTGGAGATGCATGTTGGATGGCAATTCTTCTAATTAGTGCCACAACGAACAGTTACCGGAATCCAACCCTCCCCCTGTATCCCTCTTGAGTAGTCACTTTGTGTCGACGTCCTAAGCATCTGGTTGAGCAGCGTGTTTGAAGGTGTGCAATCCGGCCCACCCCTGTGCCCCAAGTCTAGGCCGAACCTGCCAGCCCCTGCACCTTATTTATCCTCGCATGCAACGAGCCTTACACCCGGTTTTAAACTGCCCCCAAGGTCCTCGGGAATTATTTAACGTCGCAGACAGGACGACGATCACAGCCAGAATCAACACCGAGTCCCCACCAGAAATATTTAAAGACGGTCTGGTAAGCATCCGTCCAAAGGGCTGACATGCCTTGCATGACCTCTATTGCGCAGCAGCAGAACCAAGGACTTGCGGCAAAGCATGCGTGTACTAGTCCCAGCGGGTTGGCATGGTGACCGTGACCCGAGTGCTTCGTCCAGGGCCCTTCAGAGGCTTCACCTGTCTCCCACCAGCTTGCTGCCCAGGAAGAATGTCGACTCTCAAGGTTGAGTGCTCGCGACACCTCACATTGAGAGGACTCTCACGACAGAACTCGCTTCCTCACGGTAAAAAGTAATGAAGAGGGTAGGTAAGGAAGAGAGCAACATACCTCATAATGCTGTCCCCAACCACAGATTTCTCACCGGCAACCTGATGTGCATTTATGATGACCGGTTTTTGCCTCGGCACAACCAACAGCAGAATGCAGTTCCACCTCGGCTTAAATGCCACATCAGTGAGCTCTCATCATCCAGCGTACACCCCTAATGTCACCACATAGCTTCCTGGCACGCCCACACGACCCTGGGCCGCCTGCTGTTCAACACCGAAGCCTTATCACTGCCCCACACCTCATGCGAAGCACCAAACAGCTATGGCAAAGAACCAATGAAGCGCAGTTTGAACCAGCTCCGATACCAAAGTGCAAGGAAAATGAGCAGAAGCGAGATGACAATAACCAGATTACACAATCACATTGAAGGCCAGATAGTATCACAGTGTCCAGAAATGCACCAATATAACACCAATGAAGATTCGTAACACTGAAAACCAATGTCAATGAGAGCTTGCTCTCGCCACCACCAACATGAGTGTCCAGGCCCTATCTCCGTACTTGGCGTTTGGCGCCCAGCCTACTTCCTACACAGCTACAATCTGCCTACTAATTGACAATGCAACTGTGGACGTCAGCAGCTCACGAAGTACTTGAAGATGTCGCCCAATGCAGACTATCGCCAATACCAGGTATGTGCCCTCACATCATCATCATCATCATCATCCTTCTCTCTCTCTCTCCCTCTTCTTACACCCACGTTTTCCCTCTGTACACCCGAAGACCACCCCTGCGCCTCACTGTACAACCAAGCCCTCAGCCAGCTATGGAGGCTGTGCTATGGCGCTGCCCTCAGCTGCGCCCTGCTTCCACACACGACCGCACGTGCGCACCACCTTGCTCCAGCGCTAGCAGCCAGCACACGAGCAAAAGCTCCAGCAGCGCTGCCGCCAGCCAGCAAGTGCCTGAATGAGAATCCAGGCAGCAAGCTCTTTCCTATATGGAAAGATCCTGCCTGCCTTCGCAGCCTGGCTGGCCCCAGGATGCTGTGCCTCTGTTGCAGCTACTGGGCCTCATTCGGTTGGGCCTCCCAACTGTCTGTGTATGAGCCTGCGATTCTCGTCCAGGGCCTGCATCATTTTGGAAAGGCCTGGAAGGCCGTGGTATGTCTCGCTGCTCGGCCTGTGTNACTGTCTGTGTATGAGCCTGCGATTCTCGTCCAGGGCCTGCATCATTTTGGAAAGGCCTGGAAGGCCGTGGTATGTCTCGCTGCTCGGCCTGTGTATTCCTCAACCAACTGGTGTGACGAAACTGCCTGGACCCCAAATACGATATTGACAGCTTAGGGCTTCTAGTAATTTGTCAGGCCCGCTTTCGCTTAGGGCGGGCACATCTGCAGCAAGAGGCCCCTTAGGCCTGCCGAGGACCCAGATCCTCGCATAGGCACCCTCATCATGACTGTATCTTACCCAAATCGTCACCTGCATACATTGGAGTCCATACAGGTGATGATTTGGGTCAGATACGGTTATGATGAGGGTGCCTACGAGATGTGAAGTGAGTTTCTTCCCTCCTTAGGGCAGGGTGTTCCATGACCCCTTGCACTTTCTTTTTTTGGGGGGCGGCACCTTTTTTTTTTTTCTTTTTTCCTTTTCTTTTCTTTTTTTGCACCGCATCAGGTGCGGTGCGCAAGGTGCGCCAGACGTGCGCTGAGGCGTGGACCTCAATGCGCCGCAAGTATGTCTGGCACCCAGAAGGGTTGGAAAAAATTGCAATTTCGGCCACTTGAGATACGGGGGCCGCCTTCACTTAGGGAGTGCACGATGCTTGCAGCGGCCCCCCCTTGCAGCCATGCCGAGGACTTGTATCCTCGCACTAGGCCCAGGACTACAGGGTTTAGGGTTTAGCATAGTACGCAGAGGGAAACCAAACTAGCCGCGCCAGCAACTCGCGCAAATCAGACAGCCATGTAGCTGACAGGAACAGGCTAGAGAAGGTCACCACAGGGGGGTTACAAACAGTAAACAGCAGGGAGGTAGCTAGGAGTAATGGTCACCAGTGGGGGGTTACGGACAGTAAACAGCAGGGAGGTAGGTAGGAGTAACAGCCGTCTCCAACAGTATGTCAATGAGGCCAACTTAGGCAGGGGTGAAGGGTGGTACATCCTTCCGACGGGAAGTAATCAATGGCGTCCTTCGGACCTTCCTAGAAGGAATATGAGCAAGAGCGATAGACAGAAAAACAAGTTGCAAAATCGCGCAGAAGTCCAGATAGTCATGTACCAAGCAGAGAGCATAAATGCACCAGGATTCCATCCACATAAGAGCGATACAATGAACTCGTGAGCCAATGTCCAAGCCCTCTGGCCACACCAACGCAGTATCCAATGTCGCTCCTACTGTATGGCGCCCAGCGCCAGCCTACTCTACTCAGCCTATCTATCCTATCTACATTCATGCAACAGGATCACCGCTGTCAAAAACCAATGTACATGACGTCAACACCAATGCCAACCTCCCACATACACCGGGTACGTTCTATCTTCTCCCCTCATCAGACCTTGTACACCCACTCATGCGCCTCCTTCCCTGAAGACCACTTTCACTCGTCACCTGCCCGCGCCCCTGCAGCCCGGATATGGCCGCTAAGTGCCCCGCTGCCCTGCAGTGCCCCTCTTCACCTCATAACGCCCGCATGCGCCCCAGCCTACAGCACTAACGCAGACACTTGCGCAGCGACACAGCAGTGTGTCCGCATTGCCTGCGTAGGCCAGACTGGCTTCCTCAAGCCGGCCTCCTCCCTATATGGGAGTAGCTGCCCTGCTGGGCTGCCTGGGCCTGGCCGAGGAAGTTTCCAGTAGCTTCCAGTAGGGGCCCAGTGTCTGTGCCCAGGCCCATTCCTACAGTTAAGGGGCTGGGCCCTCTTCGGTTGGGCACCTTCAGGATGCCTCCAGGCTCCAAGTGTTTGCCTTGTTTGCATTTGCCCGCGGGATAGGTGTGACGGCAATGCCGCATTCTCATTGGCCCGCGGCCACTTCGTGATATGTCGGCCTCACACTGTGTGTGCCCAGGGCGCAACCACCTGCATCCTGGGCTCAACTGTTTTACACAGCTGCTACTTCTGGAAAGAGCCCAAGGAGAGGCCCAGGTTGCATTTCAACCAACTGGCGTGCTGCAACTGTCTGATACCCAATGCTGAGATAAGGGCCTCTCGTGAATATTCAGGCCCGCCTTCACTTAGGGCGGGCACGAGGCTTGCTGGGGGCCGCAGTCCAGAACATGTGCATGTTGGCTAGGGCCCCATGAGGACACATTCCTCACATTTCGAGTTGATTGTACAGTATTTGGAACGTCAAACATTACATAGGCGGTCGGGTAGGAGTTGGAAGTCGATAGCGGCAAATGTTGTGGTGGAAGGAGTTCCAAGACAAGCATGGCAGATCCTATCTAGCCTAGACTACAATGTCGTTGATGACGTCAACAGCTTCCCAAGTATGACCAGACCTCGGCCAATGTCGCACGCGTCAAGCACCAGGTATGTCTCTCGTATCACTCACAACCTCGTTTCCCAACTCACAGATGCCACTTGCACCCAAGGACCACCATGCGCCCCATCTAGCATACAGCAGCGCAACTCGGCTATGGCTGCCTGCTCCTTCCAGCTTGCCCGTGAGCGCGTGAGCCTGGCAGGCGATAGCGCAGATGCGCACAAAGCAGCCAGTGCCCGAATGTCAATGCGTGGGCTGGCCCTTTCCTAAATGGAAGTGGCCAGCCTGCATGAGTGAAGCCTGGCTGCGTTGGGCCCCTGGCCAGAAGCTTCCGGTAGGCCCAGGGAGGCTGAGCCTCAGGCCAAACGAATCAGGCCTAGGGCCACCGACAGTTACCCGTGCCCAACTGCCTGCTGTCTGCGTTGGGTCTGTGCTGCGTATGTCGCCCAGGGCCTGACTTAGATACATTTGAAGAAGCAGGTCAGGGCCTGGGCGTCTTTAACCAACTGGCGTTGCGCAACTGCCTGAATTTTCCCCAGTTGCGAAGTAGTCCAAAGTAGGCCTCTTGTCGTCTGTCGGGCCTGCCTTCACTTAGGGCGGCCGACCTGTGGCAAATAGGGGCCCAATAGGGCTTATCGAGGCCTATGCCTCGCATTCCCTCCTCCATACTTCACTAGTCCTCTGAGAAGTTCAATCTTCGATAATTTGGCGCTTTCCCTTCTGCAGAGACTTTTCATATTGGGTCACAACCTGAGGAGCGGTCTGCATCAGTTCCTCCCTGGTAAACCATCGGTCCTCCTTTGGATCAGTGTGATGTCTGAACCGAACTCTATATTGTAGCTTTGGTTTTGGAGGACGTCCTCTGCTTGTCGGTCTTGGAACTGGCATCTCTTTGTGGTCAACGATGTCATCGATGTCGACCTCTCCATCCATGGTTGGGGGCAGCATAGAGCGACGGAAGGGAAACTGATCAGTTTCTCCGAACGGTGCAAGCTTAGAAGCGTGAAATACCGGATATGTGCGTAGGTGACTAGGGATGCGAATAACATAAGAAGGACCATCCGGTTCATCTCCAACGACATCTAAAACCTCCCATGGTCCGAAGTACTGTGGCATAAGCTTACGGGATATGTCGTGCTCCTGTCCCAATTCTGAGATCTTGACCCATACTCGGTTCCCTACCCGGTATGTGGACGGGCGACGGTGATTGTTCTCAGACTCGATCATCGCCGCCTGTGCTTTCTGCATTTGTTCCACTGCCTGCTGCATCGTTTGTTTATATCGATGAGCAAATTCTAATGTACCCGATGCAGCAGTTTGCTGGTTCTCAGGTAATAGAAAGTCTAGGGGCAGTCTAGGCTTGAAAGTTAGTAGCAGGCTGTTAGGGCTCACCCCTGTGGCGCTGTGCACAACGTTGTTGTATAAGCTGGCGATGAGAGCAAGCTTCTCATCCCAGTTCACTTGGTTGGGCTTGATGTAATGCCGCAGCAGGTGTTGTACAACGCGATTCATCTGCTCTGCTTGGCCATTGGCTTCTGGGTGGTTCCCAGAGGTCATCTGCAGCCGTGTCCCTTGTTTTGCAACTGCAGCCTTCCACAACTCGCTTGTGAATCTGACATCCCGGTCACTCACGATAGACTTTGGTAATCCAAAATCTCTGACCCAGTTCTCTTTGAATAGTCTAATGACGTACTCAGTCTTTGCTGTTTTCGGCATTGCAACTAATCTAGCATACCTACTAAACCTATCCACAATCACAAAAATGTGTCTCATTCCACTCTTGCTGGTGACGAGTGTGTCCATGAAGTCCATGGACAAGCTCTCACCGGGCCTTTCCGGTATCGGAAGGGGCTTGAGGAGCCCAAAAGGGGCCTGTGTACGTGGCTTGTCTCTTTGACAGACCTGACAAGTCTCCACGTACAGCTTGGCATCTCTCATCATCGTGGGCCACCAGAACCGCTGCAGCAGATTGGCTGCAGTCTTCTTCAAGCCAAAATGTCCGGTGGCATCATGACACTCACCTAGAAATAAACTACGCAAAGACTCCCTATTGGGAACACACAAACGTTTATTCCCAACCTTCTCAAGAAACAGCAAGTCGTTGACCAACTCAAACTCAGCAGAAGTGATTTTGTCCTTCGCCTCGAGTCTGCGAATGATCTCGGACATAAACTGATCCTCGCGGTAGGCTTCCCCCATAGAGCCAGTAACATCGTCCGCAAGCCCAAACTCAATGATCAGAGCACCGGAGAAATCTGGTCTACGCGACAACTCATCAACAACCTTGTTATACTCGCCCTTGATGTACTGGGGCTCAAAGTCATACTGCTCTATGACTTCAATCCAACACTTCAGAGCGTCGAAGAGCACATGCTGGGTTCTCATCCATTTCAGGGTCTGGTGATCAGTCCTGACATAGAAAACCTCCCAAGGAGATAGTGCCTCCAATGGGTGAGCGCCTTGTAGATCGCATAGAGTTCCTTCTCATAGGTGGACTTAACCAACTTCTGAGAGGGCATCGTTTTGGACATGTACCCTATCGAACTCAACTTCTTCCCCTCCTTCTGCGCAAGTACGGCGCCTATGCCATATTGGCTAGCATCTGTAGTTACTACGAAAGGTTTGTCAGGATCAGGAAGTTTCAAGACCTCATGGTGTGTCAACGCATGCTTCAGCTGTCTGAAAGCAGCCTCACACCTGTCTGTCCACTCCCATGGGGTGTCAAGGCGAGTCAGGTTAGTCAAATGGGCGCCCACTATACTATAGTTCTTAACAAAGTTACGGTAGTAGCCGGTCATCCCTAAGAAAGACCTAATCTCAGTCACAGACTAAGGACGTGGCCAGTCACAAACGCTGGCCACCTTCGCGTCATCGAGCTTCAAACCCTCCGCGGAAATCTCATGACCCAAGTACAAAATACGGGTGCGGCCAAACTCACACTTCTCCCCGTTTATCTTGAACTTGTGCTGCCGAAGGAGACTGAGGACTTTGTCTAAGTGCGCTACATGCTCCTCGACAGTCCTACTAAAAATAAGTATGTCATCGAGGTACACGATGACAAACTTATCCAAGTAATCATGAAAGATCCGATTCATAGCGTGTTGAAAGGTGCCAGGAGCATTGCAATGGCCGAAAGGCATCACCACAAACTCGTACAGACCGTACCTGGTCTGAAATGCAGCTTTGTGTTGATCCTCGGGCCGGATTGCAATCTGATGGTACCCGAACTTCAGATCTATCTTATTGAAGTACCGGCACCCTTGCACTCTATCTAGCAAGTCGTTGATGCGCGGTAGGGGCTCTCTATTCTTGACAGTGATGGCATTGAGGCCCCTATAGTCAATGCACATCCTCAGTGTTCCCCCCTTCTTCGGTACAAATAGGACTGGACATCCATAAGGAGAAACACTCGGCCAGATCCAACCCTTCACTATGAGTTCCTTGAGTTGCCGGCGAAGCTCATCAAGCTCGCCTGGAGACATCGGATAGATCCTACCCTTTGGGATACTAGACCCTGGGATAATCTCTATCGCGTGGACGACCTCCCTCTCAACAACCCTTGTAGGCTCCTCAAATAGATCAGGGTACTTGGCAACTACTCCCTCTATCTCCGGTGGCATTTTCACCGGCCCGCCCGCTGCGGAGACATAAACTAAATACATACCCTCCTCCGAATTTTGCTTATAATAATTATAGAATGGCCGCACACATGCATCTGTGGGACTCAATCAGACTACTAGCTTTGAACTTACGTAATCTGGCGGTTCCTCCACCTGGCAAAGTGTGTTTGACCACTTTTCGATCCCAGTCAAACTGGGGCTGTGCAACGGAGAGGTAGTACATACCTAACAACATATCCATGGGGAGATCATCGCTCACTAGGAACGAAACATGATGTCTCAGTTCCCCTCCCGCGTACGAGAAGCAACACTCAACATTTTGAAGGTAGTCATTAACTACCATGCGCTGTTTGTTGGCACATGTAGATTCCACAGGTCGACTCAAGCGCTGCACTTGCCCCTATAAGTGCAACCTCTCAACGCACGCGCAGCTAATGAAGTTCCTAGTCGAGCAAGTGTCATGATAGACCCCGGCCTTGACTACCTCGCCGACGAACATCTCTCCCTTAGGGGCTTTGGCCAATGCCGTCCAAGAAGCTAGTGGGTCTGACCTAGACCACTCCTCCTCTAGCTCCTCTAAGGACTCAAACACATTCATCGAACAGAGGCTCGATGGGTCTGAATGTGTTTGCGGAATGGCAATGGAGTCGGTAGCTTGGGCCATGTCTCGAGATGGTGAGGGTGTGTCCACCACGTCGACCCTAGCAGGAACAACTACTATTCCTACTGGCCCGACGCGTTTTCCGGAGCAGTGCCAGAACTGCTGGCCACATTGTTACCAACGGGAGCGGAGGATCCCAGCGCCTACCCCATCGTAGGCGGGATCTTCTCGGTCACCTTTCTGTTACGGCACTTGAATTGGTTATGACCGTATTGACCACAACGAATGCAAGCTTGTCGGGTGTACCGGTCTCTCCACACGTCCTCACTAAGACCTGCTTTCTCCCATGGAGGAGCATTGGGGTCAACTTGACTCCTAGACCGGAAACCTCCACGACGTCTACCGGTCGCCTTACCTTTTTGCGCTACGGCAGCGACTACTCCACCCCCTGAAGCTTCTACGCTGCCGGCCTCTGAACCCACTCTCGACTCGAAGTCGTCGTCCAATTCGATGGGGGAACCATCGTTGTCGACGAACATGATGCGTCCCTTCGTTTTCTAGTTGGGAGGCAGTGACTTTTTTCTACCCTTCGTCGTGGGTGTCTGACCATGCCCTATCTTTGCTTCAAGGTCTAGGGCCTTCTTGCCAAATGACGGGAAGTTGTGCATGTTGATGTTGGCCTCACCTGCCAACTGATTCCTGAGAGGCATACGAAAGCATCTCAGGTAGGAGGTGAGTAAAACCTGGGGGTCATAGCGAACCCCAGGGACACAGATCAGACGCTCTACAACGTCAGTGGCCTCTCTTACTGACTTAAACTGCCTCGTGTGCAGTGTCAGGATCGCACTTTTGGGCCTCCCGAGGATCATGCCATCTGGCTTCCACCAACTTGAGAAAGTCATCCAGTTTCTGGGTGAGCCCAAGCGAGAAAGTCATGACCGTACCCCTGGAGCTGCACTAAACCACTCAACCATCGTGCTGCACTCCCCTCTAGATAGGAGGCAGCCACAAGCACTTCCTCGTGCGCCAAGGTAAGTTTGCACTTGACGTAGACCGGCACTGCCCTCAACCAAGTGTCGAGGTCTTCGCCCCTCTTATCCCCTGTAAAGGGTTTAGGAGCAGCGATGGCCGTCTTTGGAACCCACTGACTTTGTCCCGGTACTTGTATCATTCCGGGCTGTCAATCCTGTGGTGCAGGCTGCTGCACTAGCTGCTGCTGGGGCTGTGTAGCCTGCGGCTGTGCAGGCTGCGAGACAGCAGGCTGCCCGCTTACGGCAACCTGAGATGGACGTTGGGAGAACATTGTCTGTACAAGAACCTGCAGACTAGGACTTGTTGAGAACCCGCCTATTAAAGTCATACCCAGGGAAACGGGCTGAACCGATGCTGGAGTGGTATATGGGGATACCCCCGTCACCGGTGGGACAAAAGGAGGAGGATGTACAACGGGCCAGGCACCAGGCCCGGACATTGATGGTGCCGCCTGCGCTCGCCCGTCCACCACGGCCAGACTCTGCCGAATGTCTTGTAAGATTGCCGTATGGTGATCTTGCATCTCTACTACACCTAGCAAGACCGACCTCAGGGTCCTCACTTCATCATCCAACTCTACTGGGTCCATCTCCTCTAACTCACTAATATCCGCTTGTCTCTGCTGCAACCTGACTCTTCTTCTAATCATTCTTTCTTTTTCTGACTTAATCTCTCCTAAAGCATGTTGTAGCTGTGCCTCGCGATCAGCAGCTCGTTGTATGGCCACCTCCTCGGGAGTCATCACTAACGGCTGGCTTGCCATTGAGCCAGTTGACTGACTCTGGGTCTGCGCGACCGTTGACCCTATGGATCCTGAACTGCTAGCCTGCGAACTCTACTGCGCAGAAGTTGCCATGGCTGCTGAAGCTGCGGATTCCCTTGTGAATGCCCTGCTCGCCTCTGCTGCCCTAGCTCTCCTCTGCTGCTGCTGCCTCTCCCTAAGTTGGCGAAACAGTAACTTGTCACCCTCTGGTCCTAAGGCCAAGTGGGCTACCGGACGTCTAGCTGATCGCAAGATCCTGTCGTCCGGTTGTGGGACCTCCCTGTCACTCATAGGCTGCAACACTGTACAGTGCCTGCACTAGGACACTCTTGATGCCTCAGCATGATGTACAAACCGATTTATAATAAAATAAAATAATTAATCGGCGGCTATGTCAGAGACTATACATTCGAGTCCAACAGGTAAGTCCAGATTCCTACAAACGAACTACTTTGACTTTGTTGTCTGTCAGATGTCAATGGCTGTACATCTAATTAATCTAACTAATCAAAAATAAAAATAGAATCATTTGTTGGGTCTGTTTGCACAATGGAATCTTGCTCAAACTTATCACCTCGAATCTACCCCTCCCTCGATTCTTCCTGAATGTCTCTTGTCGTCAAAGTCCCTGAGCAATCCGGACAGCGTGCGTGTCTAAAGGTGTGCACACGGCCCACCCCTGTGCCCAGAGTCCAGCTGAGCTGGCCAGCCCTTCTTAGTATTTATCCTCGCGTGCAGCGAGCCTTACACCGACCGATTGGCTGATCAGGAGGCATTTTAATGGACGGCCCCCGAAGTCCTCAGGAATTCTTTAACGTCACAAACAGGACGACGATCACAGCCAATGGAAGGTATCCCGCCGGTGCTTATTTATAAACGCCCGGTCTCGTCTGTCCCCTAGGGCTGGCATGCCCTTCAGAACCCCTCTACAGCGCCGCGAGCAGACAACGGACAAAGCAGCAAAGCATGTGTGCTCTACTCCCGGTGGGTTGGCATGGTGACCGTGACCCAGTGCTTCGTCCAGGGCCCTTTAGATAGCACCGCCCTCTCCTTCCAGATGCTCCACGTGAAGATTGACGACTCTCAAGGTTGAGCGCGCACGACTCCTCACATGAGAAGACTCTCAAGACAGAACACACATCCTCACGGTAAGAAGTGTCGAAGAGGGTAGATAAGGTTAGGTGCAACGTACCTCAAAATAGCTGCCCCCAACCACAGATATTCTCACCAGATGACCCGATGTTGATTGTGATTTACCAGTCGCTGCTTTGACACAACCAGCATTGCACAACCGTTCCACCTCAGCATCAATCACACACCGGATAGTTCTCAT